TCTTTAACTACTCTGACTCTCTCTCTCTCTCTCTCTCTATCGAAAGAACTCGACTTCAAGAACGGAGGATAAAAAGAAAAAAGTGGACCGGGTCGCGACGATGGCCGCGATTGTTCGGTCGGCGTCTTTTTTTAATTTATGCTTGCCACGCGGAATTCCGTAAAACGATATCCTGACTCGTCGCGCGAAACGCGGCACTCGCGAACGGAATTATATTTGTCAACTGTCACTTCGATTCGAAAATTGTAAACGAAGAATTTTCGCGAGTAATCGGTTCGTTCGTCCTTTCTCCTTCTCCTCCTCCTCCTCCGTGCGAAATAAGATAAAAGAATGGTGGGACGAAGTTGCGGGAAAAATTCGAAGAGGCGGAAGTGCGGAGGGGCGGAAGGCGGTGTTCGAAAGATATGCTTACAACTTACAGGTGGGATGAAAGTGAGAATGGTCCAGTGGCGCGTTGTTGACAGGAGCTGTCACGAGCTCTTCGACACCGAATGAATCACAAAGGTTCATGGAAAGCGGAGTCAAAGGTCGGCTTGCGTTCGCGACAGGTTTCGAGTACTCGGATCGACTGCACGCAACGAGCGCGCACAACTCTCGCACATCCGTTCTCCATTCGGCCACCGTGACACGAAAGTCGCCATCTGACGGCAGCGGAGATAATTTATCCGAGCACAGGTGGTAAACATCGTTCGCCGAGGGGGAAAAAAACATCGACTCCGCAAACACCTTTGATTTTCCACCGTTCCGCTCCACCGTGTAAAAGCTACAAAAATCATCGAGCTTTGTTTGCTCGCGTCGATTTCCTAGACGCGAAAGAAGTAAGATAAAAAAGATGGTTTGAAAAATTTTTTTTCAAAAACACGCGATTTAATTATGAAAATTATTTGACGTCAATTGATTATCGCATATAAATATTTATATTTACATTACGTTAATTAGTTGCAAGAAAAAAATTTGCTTAATATCTTTATTATCGCTAATAACATAAGAAAATATATCCGATATCTGGTATCATCGATCAAAAGTTTTTCTTCGATACGCTTGTCAAATGTGTTTCGCTACTTTTTCTCAAACAAGTTTTATTTCTTCTCTTGTTTTTTTAAAAAAAAAAAAAATTATTCCAACTGTATTAATTCCAAACTTTTGCTCGAGGTATTTACGGACCAACAATATTGTAAATAATAATAAAATAACAATGAAATAAAAAGTAAAAAAAAAAACGAGGATCGCTTTCGTTCATCTTTGTTTCTTGTATTTCTGAGAAGATACTTCCATAGAGTTCAACCATAGTTCTAAATCTTTGGTTATTTCGGGACGTTGCGCGTTCGGCTCGACTTCAGCTATTATTTCCGAGACTGGAACTTTCAAACCTGTTGCCGTTTGTTTGCTGAGAATGACCGCGCGAATGAAACCGTCCGTCAAACTAATAAATTCGTGCTCCAAGTAGAAATTCTTATCGTCCCAATAAATCAGCTGTAAAATCGAACAAAAATTCATTCGACAATACAATTTATATAATCGACAATTTATATAATCGATACGTACGATTGACATTTAATGTATAACGCGTAATTAAGATGGATTAAAGATAACTTATCTCACCTTCGTGGTCACCTTATACAGAGTGAAAATAGGAATAGCTCGACGGTATCGGGTCCACGATGCTCCTTGCACCGCGCTCCCACCTTTCGTCACGATCGCCGAATATATTCCAGATCGATCGTAGTAATGGAAACGCGCGAAATCCAATTCACGAAGGTATCTCGCGTTGTTCATGTGTTTAAGGAACAAATCCACGTCTTGCGTAGTGCATATGCCTGAAAAGAGAAAAAAAAAAAAAAAAAAGAAG